CGCATCCATACATGTGCTAAATCTGATTCTTCAGTTTCGCTAATAATGATTCCAACTTGACAAAGCTCCCTTTCCACATTAATTAATATCACATAATTGAAATTCTATTTAATATCATATTTTGTTTCCCTTTTTTTTTTTTTTTTTTTTTTTTTTTTTTTTTGTCTTCAGCTTGTTTTTTTTTTTGTTGTTCCTATGATAAGGTTTGAGATTCCTGCATGTTTTGTTGGGTTTTAATAGGCTTTCTGTGTGGCTACAATTGAACAATTTTTTCAATTGTTTACTTTGTCTTAGAAACTGCTTAACACTATCAATTATTTGTTCCTGAAAAAATTAGGGTTTTTTAACCTGTATCCCGCTTTTTCTGACTTGGTGTGAAATTGGTCTCTGTTTTCCAATGCATTTTTGGTATACATATAATTAGTAAACAGTTGTGTCTATAATTCATACACAGTCGCTCTGTTGTCCAATTAAGCTTATGGGATTCACTTCCAAGTTTCAGTTTTGAAAATGGTCATCCTTTAGTTGCTTGCAGTGATAATCAACCTAGTTACAGATGTTTTATTTTTATGTATGCTAATGGATAAATTCTCTGTTGATTTGAGAGTATTAATCGTTTTAACTGGAATTCGATATTGAGTTGTTTATTTGTTCACATGTATCGTATGATCTAGGATATTATTGAATTCATCTGTCTAGTACATGATGCATGACACTTCTTGGAATTTATTGTTCTTTTTTTATTTTGACAATAGCCTGCTTCCTCAACTACTAGTATGACCAAATTGAATCATTTTACAGGGTTTGGCTGAAGCTGTCTGGAACTTTTGTGTTACTGATTTTAAGATCCATTTGTGTTTTAGTCATTTTGTCCATATTCTTGTTAATAATGAGCTTATCCAAGAAAGGATTCCAAACAGATGCGAAACTGAGCACCACAAACAAAGCAACATCTTTGAATCCAAATGCAGCAGAGTTTGTTCCTTTTTCCCTAAGATCATTGCCATCTGGAAGCACGAGCTTGGTAGACACAGCAGCAAGTTTTACTTCTGCTGGATCTCTTGGGAAAGCAGTTTTAGATAGATCAGAATCATCCATTTCAAATAATTCCGATGATGAGGCTCACCAGTATTGGCGTTGTCAGCTTCCTGATGACATCACGCCTGACTTCAAGGTCATGGGAGAAGATGAATCCCAAGGTCTTAACAATATCTCTTTAGCAGGCTTATCTTTACATGATGATAATGAATCCTCAATGTTTCCTTCTAAGGGAACTAGATATATATTAAATGAGCAGCAGGATTTGTCTCAACAGAACCTTAATGGCAATAGTTTTGCTGACAAATTAAGGTTTTCCAATTCAACCTACAGGGAAGAACCAACTTCAGCAAGCATTTTGAACTCATCAGCAAAGCCTTGGGATAGGCAAATTGGGAATACCAACATGCATGTAAACAGTGGTCAAGAGGCACTTGTTTATGATGACAACTCTGGACATGGATTCTTAAATGATGTTTTTGCTGGAAATTCTATTGTGAATGATACTGATTTAAACCCTTTGGAGTTTTTAGCTTCTCTATTCCCTGGTTTTGCTTCAGAAAGCCTTGCTGAAGTTTTCTTTGCCAATGGATGTGATTTGCATCTTACTGTTGAGATGCTCACTCAGTTAGAGGTAGGTTGATCTTCATGTATAGTGACACGTGGTTAAATTATGTTCATTGTAAAGCCTCTTTTCATGTGACATCCCTTAAAAATGTATACATTGTCAGATACATTTATGCATTATAACTGTCTCCAAGCATGTTGTGATGCAATTATTGGTAAAAAAACTGCATATCTTGCAGTATGCTTCGGTATTATATTAAAAGAGAAAGGATGGAAGCTAAATGTATAGAGAAATGCCCCTGCCTTGTTTTGGCAGGAAGGATATGGCATTCTATAAAGTTGAGGCCACTCTATTGCAATTCAGCTCCTGGTTTCTCATCCCAAATCCTTATAGCTTATGATTCATGTTATCAGGAGACTATTGGAATTTTATTTGCAATTTTTCGGGTATAAATATTTTCTTGATATATGATAAAAGTAATACAACTATATCTATTGATTTTTGTTTTTCATTTGTGGATGCCATTGTCAAGTCTCATGAATAGTTCATTTCTCTAACATAACCGAGGACATTAATGTTGATTATCTCTACTTGTTCCCTCCAATTTTGTAGATTCAAGTTGATGGTAGTTTCAATCAGAATCTGAGTCCGAAGACTCTGTCAGCTCCCAATCTGAGTGCGATGGATTTTCCAGCTCTTTCTCCATCAAATGGCCAGAATACTGCAAAATATGCTGCAGATAATGTTCAACAAAGTGGCAATCCTTACTTATCATCTGATAAGGACATGCTCATGTTCAAATCTGGCTCTTCTATTCCATCTAGAGGTTCTGTTGACTTTGCCTCGGCTGTTAGGAAATTGGCTTCTCAGGATTCTGGTATATGGAAATATGATAAAAATGGTTCTGGTGATGCTTCTACTGGCTCAAGTAGGAGTTTAAATGCTTTGGCTAGTGCCTACAATGGTGGACAGGGGAGAGTCAACTTTGGTGATAGATCACAGAACCGTGGTTCTGCTCGGGCAGCTCCTGTTTGGCTTGAAACTGGTGAAGCAGTTGGTAAATAGTTTTTTTTTTTTTTTTTTTTTTTTTTTTTTTT